GCAGGCTAGGGCACTTAATTTACTCCTATATAGAAGAGTCCAGCTAGTCATTCAGAGATTTATCATTATTTCTACATAGTGCATAGGTTAAGAGCACAAGCTTGAGCCAGACTTCCTCAGTTCGTGTTGCTTCTTCCACTTCACAGTGGTTTGACTTACAAGTTACTTAACTTTTTGTCTCTCCGTTCTTTATCATGAGAGGGATAGCAATGTATTTAAGTCCCAAATTGATTATATTAAATTACTGTACATAAGGTGCCTAATACAATTCCCAGTACTTCTCAATTATTAGTCATTTGTATGATTACTGATATCTACATATATAATGAGAAAATGAAAGTAAGAAACGTAAGGTGCCTTCCATGAATTACTTGATATAGGAGACAAAACATTGTAATTGGAGAGTTCCTCCAATTAACCAGAAGGACCTTGACCTTGGTACATCAGAGCCTGTTCCTTTATCTGAAAGATGAAGATAATCCTCCTTCTAGTTGTAGCTTTGATATTAAAAGGGATCATGTATATCAGTTTCTGGCAATATATCCAAGACCTAATCCAAAAGCAGTTAATGTTGCTGCATTTCTCTCTTCTCCCACTGGCCTGGAAATTCGACAAGCACAGGATCCCCATTAACTGTGCCTACATCTGCCCATGTCCTCAGCACTGACAACTTGGTGAGCAAACAGGCATATGTGGCCACTCAGGGTCACCTCTATAATGTTTCACAAAGCTATGCTGTCAGTCTCCTGTCTGACAGAAATCTTACCCAGAGCATAAGCATCTGTCAGGGCAGTAACACCAACAACATGGGGACCTACTAGTATCCCCATTCAGGAAGAACTTGCCCCTCCAGCTGTACTGAACATGGTATGAGATTTGACTATCTTGAGGCTCCTGATGAGGCTTCCATTCAGTGGTTCTCAAAGGCAAAGTCCTCAGGAAATCCCCTACAGCCCTCAAACATTGGGTCAACCAGCAGCTTATAAAGGCTGCTGAGAGCCCAGCATAATGCAGCCCTTGACCTCAACAATGTAGGAGAGAAGTATTTTCATCACTTTTGGGGTGACATTATGTCATAAATAAATCAACAATTTAGATTTTGAGTTCATGTGCCACACACTTGTAATAAGCTTTTTCTTCTAGCTGATTTCCTTTTCCTATAAGAGGGACCAGAATAAGATGGATGTTTTTCTTGATTTCTTTGATGTCTTGAACTTTGTTTAGCTCTTTATTTTTCTTCAATCTGTTAATTAAAAATTTAGCTTAGCTTTTTGTTTGCTTGCTCAACCCACTTCATTGTATCAGTAGTTTTATTCCTTAGTTCTTGCTGGTAATCAACAGGTTCATTTCTATGTTTTCAGATTCAAATTATTCACTGTCAGCTCTTTACCAACTGCCTTCCAGAATGTTGTGGTTTACCTGACCTTGCCAGGATTGTACTTCTTTTGAACGTTTTATGATATTTGGATTTACAGAAACTGAACACCTTCTAATTCTTATAGACAGACATCATGCAGTAGCCAGGGTAGATGAGCCCTGAACAGAAATAACACTTCTCTATTCACATGTTGGACCATCATGGGACCCTACCAAAATAAATGAGTTTGACAGTGGGAGAGAGTGTCTAAATTATTTGATTATTTGTATTAGTATGAGGTAGGTAAAAAATAACATAATGTCTTGGTTATTTTTTCTTTTGTTGCTGAGACAAAATGCCTGATGCCCAAAATTAAGAAAGAAAAGGTTTATTTAGTTTACAGTTTGTGGAGGTTTCAGTCTATAACCAGCTGGCTCCAAGGCAGGGTGGCTTAGTACAGGGGCAACACTTTAAGGCTGCACAAGACAGCAAAAACAGCAAGAGCAAAAAGGGGGAGAAGAAAGCCTCTTTTCCTTACCTATATTGTATGCCTGCTATCAGTCCACACCCACAACGTGTCTGTGCCCTCCTCTTGCACAAGCTGAGGATAGTCACAAAAAAATGACCCTGGCTCTCTGCTGATTCACTTTATGGTTTTAAGTTGAACTTTTAAACTTCTCAAGTTGACACAATGAACAGCATCCTAGGGCAGCAAGGGCATATCCTTTTCACCCCAGGATGTAGAACTGCTGAGTTACTTAGTTAAGCTTCTAGATCCCTCAAGTTGACACAATGTATCAACCATAATACATAAAATATGTATAAAGTATAAAGAATAACAGTGTGTGACCCTAAGTCAGTAATTCCCCTAATCCTGAGCACTTCATGTGCAAATGGGGCAGGAGAACACCTACCTCAAAAAATTATAAGCATTTGATTGAAAAAATATGTATAAATTGTCTCTGAAATAGTTAGAGTTCAATAAACATTAGTACCTTACCTGATTTCACTGTGTCCTGCACTGCCCCTAAGCCTTGTGATGATAATCTAAGAACTCCACAGTTCCTTGCTCTAAACCAGAGTGTTGGCAGTATATGCATACAAGAGATTGCTCACAGTAGAGGACTGTCACACTGAGTTCAATGCAAAGTCAGACCGCGTATTAATTTGCCTCATTCCGGAGTCTAGCTGTTTGTCCTCTTCTGGCTAGTGCGTGCTTCTTTTTTTCTAAAATTTATGTAGCCCAGGCTGGGTTTGAACCTGTGATCCCCCTGCCTTAGGCTCCAGAGTGCTGAGATTACAGGGGTGCCAACATGCCTAGTTTTCTGAGACTTTTGAGACCATTTCTGGGTTTGCCTACAGCCCTCTGCAGCCCACTTCAGCTACAGAGCATAATCTTAGCCCTCCTCCCATACCAAAACCCTTCCCCTCTGTCTCCTGTTGCCCAGCTACAAAGGAATTTGTGATTCCTTAAAGTCCATATAACCTTTCAAGAAAATTTGTCATACCCAATTTTCATCTCAGAAATTATTTCTTGTCAAATACAGAGACTATCAACCCAGGTGTCTAATATATTTCTGCAGATGGAGGGAGTCACACACCTATAATAATTACCATAATGTCTGCAACTTGCATTTACCAGGCATTTATTTATATGTGCTTACCTGTGCTAAGTGTTTTACTCACATCTTCTCATCTAAGCTTTACAATAAAACACTGGCATGAGTAACTACCTCCGTTGTAAACAAAACTGGAAATTAGAAAGGTTTGGTAACTTGCTCAAGATCACACTTATTGGCAGAGCTATGGTTAAAAACCCTGACTGATTCCACAGAGGACTTCTTCCCTGTCCTGAAAAGCTCAAGTCTCTTAATGGAACAAACCCAGGAACAAATATTTTACTCATTTATATATCAAAATCCAAATGTCCTTTTGTTTCAATAACAAATTGTCTGCTAGGTTTTGTCGTTGCTTTGTTTGCTGGTGCTGGAGTTGGACCTTATGCATCTGGAAGGAAACTATGGAAGAAATAAAAGGAAGGCCTTTTTTAAGCACCTTTTTAACTTGTCTAGACCTACGTACTTTGCTTTTTTAAAAATCTTAGTTTTAAAAAACAATTAAAACATAGAGGAACAAGCCAGGCGTGGTGGCACACCCACCACCACGTGTAATCCCAGTACTAGGGAGTCTGAGGCAGGAGGATCGTTGCAATTTGAGGCCAGCCTAGGCTACAAAGTGAGCTCAAGGTCAGCCTGAACTACATAGGGAGACCCTGTCTTAAAAAGACAAAAAAAAAAAAAAAAAAAAATAGAGGAACACTCAGCAAATATAGTCAGTAATAAAAAAAATTATTCCTACCTCCATTTTATATACTCATTTCTGTATGAGCTTTAAAATGGGATTACAGGTGGAGGGATATAGCTCAGTAGCACTGCGCTTGCCTGGCAAGCACAAGGTCCTGAGTTTTATTATGGTACCAAAAAAAAAAAAAAAAAGGATTACATTGTACATAATGTTCTATAATCTTTTTGATCTTATCCATACCTTGTACTAAATTACATCTTTTCATGTCCGTGAATATGGATCTGAGAGTATTGGGGTTCGGGTAGATTGCAAATTCTTGATACAATAAAAATGCCAAGAGTTATAGCTCACTGTTAGCAAGCTCGCCTAGTATGCACAAGGTCCTGAGTTTGATTCTTAGTGCCAACAAAAGAGAAATTCTAAAAACCTAAGATAACTTTATTTAAACGAGAATTTGCAGTTGCTAGGCACCCCCAGTTTTTGGCTGTGGTTGCAGTTGGAAGCGGGATCGAGCAGCTCACCGCAAGGCGTGCTGGGCCCTGGCAGCTGACTCAGCGAACCGGGCGGGTTGGCCGGGCGTGGTCATGCCTGGGCGGCTGACCCGTTCCTCTCGGGACTCCTGTTGGGTGGGGAGCTGGGCGGAGCAACGGTCCAGATGAAGAGGATTCTGATTGGGCTCGGCTCCAGGAGATAGATCCTGGTACAATGTGCCTCTCTTCTGGGGCTCAGTGGCACAGGACAACAGGCGCCCCAGTTTAAGAGAAGGGAGACTAGCGGCCAGTGGGGGCGGGGCGGGGTGGGGGGGGGTGGGGTGCTGTAGAGCAGGTCTTGCGAGTCCAAGCCTGCAGGGGCTCATTAGGCCCCTAATCGGAGCCTAGACGCTGGCCAAAGTCTTGTAAGGCTAAATCCCCTGGTAGCCAAAGGTTTAGGGAGACAGCAAGCTGCAGCCAGCAGGGATAACCTAAAAGAGAGAATGTTTCTGGACCTGAAAGTCCTTCTTGAACATGTTCTTGATGGAGCCCTACAAATTAAGTATTTAAACTGAGCATGGCAGCACACACCTGTAATTCCAGAACTCTGGGAGATTAAGCCAAGAGGATGGTACATTCCAGTCCAGCCTGGGCAATTTAGCAATTTGCCCTGTCTCAAAATTACAATTATTAATGGTAATAATTATTAAATTTAAAAGTGCTGATGATGTAGCTTAGTGCAAGCATTCTGAGTTCCATCCCCAGGACTGGGAAAAAATATTTAAGGCACACACAAAAATAGACTAACATAATTAATCTGTATACATCCACTATCTAGCTCATTTACATCTGCATATTTTCCTATACAGGTTGACTATCCTACAAAAATCTGAAAGACTCTATTAACTTTTTGAGCAACGACAGGATACTCTAAGATGAAAAATCCACACCTGACCTCAGGTAAAGAGTTGAAGTCAAAATACAGGTGCATTCTGCATGACAGTCTTTCAGCCAACAATGGACTACATAAAACAATCGTCCCATAACATTATAATGGAGCTGAAAAATGTCTGTCTTCTTGGGAATTCATAGCTAAAGAAGCAAAAGAAAACTGCAAAAGAAAAAGAACAACCAAGAGAATTCACAGTGAAGTTTTTAGAAGTTTGCAGAACCAACCAAGCTCCCTAAAGCTTTGAAAATACGGACCACTACTTAAAAGTTTTAATCAACAGAAAAGAATGTTCACGATGTATTATCAGCTTACAAGCAAATCTATGTTGAAAAAAGCAACCAAGCAAGCCACAATGGACATCTTTCTGAAAAGAGTGATATATCTTCAACAGCATCTCACACAGGTCCCTCCTGAGAAAGTCCAGAAGCTATTGGACAGAACAGGATGTGACTACTTCATGCACTTGATCACCTCTGGAGATCTTCCAGGGGAATAAGATGTAGATATAGAAGACAGTAATACTGAAGACATTGACTCAGAGTAGGCCTAGGCTAATGTGTGTGCTCATATTTTATTTTTTAGCAAGTTTTTAACAATAAAAAATTTTAAAACAGAAAAAAGAATTAGAGAAAGTATCCTTAAAAAAATTATTTTTGTACAACCTCAAAATGTGGTTGCAAATTAAGCTAAATGTTACAAGAGTCAAAAAGTTTTTTAAAAGTTTAAAAAAAAACCCAGAAGCACTAAAAATATTGTATAAAATTACTTCAGGCTCTGTGTGTAAGGTGTATACGAAACATAAATAGATTTCATGTTTAAACTTGGGTCTTACCCTCAGTATCTCACTGTGTATATGCAATATTCCAAAATTTGAAAATGAATCAAAATCCAGAGCCCTTCTGGTCCCAAGCATCTTGAGTGAGGGATATCCAGCCTGTATTTGGTTCAGCTCTTTTGTTCTTTAAGTAATAAAGCATTACATACACTGATCAGTGTCTGAAATTTTCCCTCATTCCATTCTTTTCTCTCCTTATAGGTCATTGCCATCTTGAATTGGAGTTTACGAATTCTACATGTATTTTTATGTAGTACGTACACCCTATGTGTGTCCACAAAAGTACGTAGCTCATTTTGCATGTTTTAAACTTTATATAAATACTATGCTACTATGATTATTCTGCAACTTTCTTTTCTTTTTTCTCAACATTTTTGAGATTCATTAATTATAACTTCTATATATTATTTCATTGTATGATCATACTGCAGTTAATTAAAACATCCTGCTTAATAAATAATCATTCAATGGATTTTTTTGTGCTTCTCTCCCAATATACAGTTGTGAGACTTTTAAAAGATGAACCCTTAGGAGTGTATTTGCTGAGTAACATGGTGTACACATCTTTACCTTTGCCAGACACCGCTCTCCAAAAAGATTGTGTTATCAGTTTATGTCCCAACCATTTTCCCACTGGCAATGCAGGAAGCTCTTTTTCCACTTGGTTGCCACACTTGACTTATCTTTCATAAAACTTGAAAAGTTTTTTTAAACCAAGTTCACACTTCATCTCTTCTACTTGCTTTAGCATAAATGAATTAATTTGTCTCTCCAAGGCTTGATTTTGTTATTTATAAAAATGAGAACATCTTGTTGAGAAGAATTAAATAATGCATATAAAAATACTCAAATGGGCTGGAATTTAACATGAAGTTCATAGCTACTAGTAGCAATAACAGAAATATTAATTAATTATAAATATTAATAAATAAACTCTGTGTATTGAGTTCTTGCTATTGGGCTCGGCATTGTCCTAAGTGCCTTAGATTTATTATCTTATTTACTCATAGAGATTGGTATAGATATTAGCTTCATTTTGAAGATGAAGTATCCAAATCATACACTGTTGAAGCATACTACTCAAAATCTCAGAGCAAATAAGGCCCTACTGGGTTCTAATCATAGGTCTGTCAGAGAGTTTGAACATCATCCCACAGGCAATGGAGAATGACTAAAAGGGGGCAATATTGACTAATGGATCAATTGATCCATTTACCTATCTGACATCAAAGCTTGTACCTCTCTATAAGTAGTAATCATTACTGTACATAATGATCAACACTGAGGAGAGGAAGGTGAAAGAGTTCAAAGTTAAATGGATGACCCACTTTGTACTAGGAAATAGAGACACACTGGAGACAAAAACACTTCTTTTGTCGGTACCGGGAACCGAACTCACGACCTTGCGCTTGCCAGGCAGGCGCTTTTGCCGCTGAGCTAAATCGCCAGCCCCTAGAGCCTGTTTTAATGTTTCTCAAGATATGGTTCCCTGACCCTTTGCCTCACAATAACCATGATCCTTACTCAACATGAGATTCCCCTAGGCCCCTAGAGATTTTGCTTCCTTAGGTTTGTAGTAGAACAGAAAAAGAACCCATTCTGATGTGAATTGTGAGAGCCACTGGTCTGCCGGTAAAAAAACGATCAGACCAGTGACTACAGTGCAAGGAGACAAGGGTTACAATGAGTGATTGGGAAAGGGTTTCTGGGGGAAGCCTGGTCTGATCAGAGTCTGAAAGACCAGAAAAAGCAAATGGAGCAGGCAGAAGGAAAGAGAAGATTCAGGGGAAAGGACACTGTTCGCAGAAGACCAGGAGTAAGAGAAGAAGCTCTTTTAAGGAACAGAAAATATTTTAGAAATGTAGCAAGACCTAAGGTATGGACAGGATCTGGGTCACAGGGCTTTGCTGGTCCTGTTAGGAAGTTGGACTTTATCTTACAGATGGTGGAAAATAACTGAAAGTTATTCATTTAAAGAAGGACAGTGTAGTGGTTAATTGATTATGTCAACTTGAGAAGTTTAGAAGCATAACTAAACTTGGCTCAGCAATTGGCCCAGCAATTCTACATCCTAGGGTGTAGAGGAGCCATCCTAGGGTTTGGAGGAGCCACCCTAGGGTGGATCATTGCCTAGATAATATAAAAGGGAAATGAGGAAGGACAGAGGAACTTCCATTCCTTTTGGAGGAGCTCCAGTCTTCACCTTCAGCTTGGCCTTAGTCTCCTGGCTTCTAGTGCAGACTCTTGGGCTTCCACCTTGTATTCTTCAATCTTCAGTCGCAGACTCATCAGCCTCCTGGTACGGACTTGCATGGAACACTGCAGTGAATTCCAGACCCTGGACTGATTCCTTCGGTCTTCAGTGTGCAGACACCCTCTGCACACTTCCCCGTACAACTCTCTGGCTGACGGTCGTAAGCCAATCTTGTAATTTCTTATAATTTGTACATCCTCTATCTGTTTCTCCGATAAAACCCTGACTGATACAGACAGTAATAGTTTTAAGAAAGACCCTTTGTGCAACCCGTAGGTAAAGAACATGTGAGGAGATAAGATAGGGCAAGATTCTCTCAGGGCTATGAGGAAATACCTATGATGGCCTGAACTGAGACAATGATGGTGTGAGAAGGAAGGAAGTGGACAGATAAAAGAACCAGCAGCTACTGGTCACTGATTGGATGTGGCTGGGTGGAGAGAAAGAGCATGCAAGGCTTCTTTCTTCAACAAATTAGATCAATGGTTGTGAATTTCACCGTAGTAAAGAAACCACTGAAGGAAAAGCCAGTGTGGAACGGAAATGATGAGAGCACTCCAAACACAGTGAATTTGAGAGTCTTATAAAATATCCAAGCACAGCTCTTTAAAAGTTAGTTGGAAGTGTAGGTCACTGGGGAATCCTGTCAGCTACTTGCTCAATAACCCTGTCCCCTGCCTCTTTCTTGTCAGAAGTCAATTATGTTTAGAATGATGCTATTGCCAACCAAAGTAGTTGTTCTCCTAGACTCTTTTGCCTGTCTTCCCAGACTTTCCAAGATGGCTCCTGAGACCCTTGTTCTGAGCAAACAGATCTAAATAGACATCACGAATAGGGGTTCTGGAGAGGCTATTGTCTTCCTGATAACAATGCATAGGCCCTGCAGGCATTTGGCTTTTGCCCTTACCCTTTTCCCTTCTTCCTTCTTAAACAAGATTGAGAGATTCGGACAAGAAGTGGCTATTTTGTCAGCAGGAGGATTAAGGCCATATACAAAAAGCAGCAAGACCAAGGGTTCTGGCACTGTACTGCTGAGGTAGTGTCCTGGGCTGTCTACCACCTGAGAAAAATATCCCTTATTTAAGGTTAAAGGGCCTAGAACTGATTTTCTGTCACCTGGAGTAAAGCATGATCTAACTGATTCAAAAGCTGAAGTTCTGCAGACAGATCTGAGTTAGAAATAAAATTCAGATCAGCATCTGATTGATAACTGTCAGTGCTAGGGTGAATATAAGGAAATCAGGCACCCTAAAAGTACACACATCTAAATGATTTTTGTGGGCTAAAGGACAGAGAAAGCTTGACTTGTAGGCAATGTTGAAAGAAAGAATTCCTGTTTACAGGCCTAGGGTCTTTAGTCTTCTTTGTTATTGTTGGTGTTTCTATGACCTCGTTTAAAACAAAACAAGTTGGGGTAAGTCAGTAAATACTCAACTCCATGAGAGTTATTTTGTAAAAACTTATCAAGTTTTTAATCAAGGGTTGGTGACTCTGGTCATGTGTGTGGTGACTTACCTCCCAGGGAGCATATTTTAGGTTCTGAAGTCAACCCAGTAAACCTTAGCTTTTCTCTGGTTTCCATAAAACAAGGAGCCCTGGAGTTCTCTGAGAGAAGGATGTTAGCATTGCCCCAGCCCTGGCTTGCAATTCATTTCGACTGTCTTAGCCTTTGTCACGATTACTTGCGATAGCCTCCTAAGAGATATGTCTGATCTTTCTCTCTTCCCTTCCTTGCCCCACTCCAAAACATCCCAAATCTAAAAACCTATTTTCACTGATACATGGATTTGGACCTTTCATTCCTTTTTTTGGAACACTTCTACTGTCACTAGCATAAACACTAAAGGCCTGTGACAGTATATAAGGCCCCAATCTTTCCATTCTCATTCCGATAGTTGTCTTCCCCCATTCTATCTCTGCACACAAGTTCAGCCACTCTGAATGTTTCATTCTGCCTGCCTTTCTCCTCCCCTTTCAAGCTGTTGCAGCCTGGTTTTTTTGCCCAGAAATGCTTTCTCTGCCATGCTCTCTGACAAACTATCCTCATCCACCAACTGCAGTCAGATTAACCTTCTGGTCTTCCTGGCAACTGGGGATGGCTAGATACCCAGCTTCTCCTGCTCCTTCAACCCCTCACCCCCCGCCAGATTCTCTGAAATCCCTTTGATTCTGCAGGTGAATTATCTGTAAAATTGCCCCTTTCTCTCCAGTGCTGCTGCTCCTCACTCTGACAGTCTCTTCAGGAGCCACCAGTCTGCTCTTTCCCAGTTTACTCAATCTGTTTTCCTTGTTCAAATGTATCTGAATCAAACTCTTGCTTAAAACTCTCTAAGTTCCTAATTGTTCCCATGGACCTCTCAAGACTAATTCCTACACTCAGGTTGCACAGTGACACCAAACACAGTGCATGCCCTTGGGCACCAAAGGCCAGTACTTCCCTATCTAGCTCAGTGCCTTCCTCAGAGCTTCTGCTGGGCCAGTTGGCACCAGAACTACTGATAATGGCCCTGGCAACAGACAGCTTTGGTTCCAGCCTTTGCTAGGCTGTTTATTATCTGGATGTCCTTGACTGAAATTTCTAACTCACTGTGTCAGTTTCATCATTTGTAAATGAGGGCTAAAAGTAGAACTCATAGTACTATCCAATTTCAAAAGATAAACCTGGAAAGTATTAAGAACAGTGTCCGGTAGAGGGTGAATATATAAGTGTTAGCTATTGTAGTTATCTGTTCCATCCATTTTTTGTCCTCTTCAATTGCTTTGAATAATTTCTGACACATAGTCAGGCTTCATTAAATATTTATTAAAAAATAAACCAGGTCCAGTGGCACACACCTGTAATCCTAGTACACTAGGTGGATGAGGCAGGAAGATTGCAAATTTGAGCCTCACCTGGGCAA